GAAAGCCTCAAAGCATAAGGAAACCCTAATTTCTGAGTGAACAACTTAGAAGATGGTAACTGAGGAGCAAACCTTGATTTTTAATCACACATAGGGAACTAAACCCTAATCTGAGATCTTGTTGAATGGCCTTGTACAGAAACTCATGATAACTATACTTCAAAACCTGATGCCATTGTCCACTTCCCAAGGAGGAACCAAGGAAATCAACTGTAAAATGTAGAAGCCTCAAACCAAAATTAAACCCCGGATGGCACAACCACTGATGTTTTGAACCGTTGCTTTATTGAATGAAAGAATAATATGCAAATGACCTAGCGAAAATGATGCAAATGAAATGCAAAGCCTAAGCCAGATAAAAGTGAAAAGGGTAGGACAAATTTGGGGTATCACAACATAAAATTAGTTTCTGACTCTCTAATGAATGAATTGTGTGTGAATAGGGTGAGTTCGAAAGTATACTTCTATATTCCAATGGTAGTTTTGATTTTTCTCTAGGGTGTGAGAGAATTTCTTAGGATGAAAAGAGAAATTACCTTTTAAAAAACTTATGCATTCATCGACTTGGCAAGGTCACAAGATTAAGGGTTGTTGATCTAACAAGAAAAATTAATGTTAAATCATATGATTGGTTCAGATAAATTAAGTGACTAGGTGATATAACTTGGTCTTGATGACTAAATTATAGTAATATTAAATTAGGTTGAACCAGATAACTAATATATAAAAAGTTTTAAATAATCGTGGGGATTACTTCTCTCATCCTAAGTGGTGGAGAAACATTTCATGGAAATCTAAAAAATTTCCCTACGAATCTGAAAGTATATTTTAGACGCACCTTTAATAGATCAAATTCATGCATAAGTGAGTCACACCCTCATTTTTTCATATATTATTAATTTGGAGGTGTACTTCTATAATAACCTTATATACATCCCATCCATTCATAATTGAGTTGTGCCTTCTTTTTTTTATAAATTTATCCGGAGATGCATCTTTGTAGCAAACTATGGATTTACACTTCCGTATTCACCATGTAGGCATTAAATTTTGATATATTTTTTTAGAAATACACTGATGTAATAGATCATGTATTATAGCTATATTATCATGAAAAGAATTATCAATTAAATCATACACTGTTATAGTAATATGAAAATGTCATGTATAAGATGAAAATGTCATATTCATAATCCATAATAATGTCAAAATAATAAAATATAAACAATAATTTGATATCATAATTCCTAATACAAATATTATACTTTGAGCGAGACGAATGCACAAGCATGTGGCATATACTTAGTGTAGTGATCAACATATGACCATCCAGAGATGCGTGGGAAGTGTTAGATGATCCATGCCTAAAAATGGTAAAAATGAATTATATTACCGTAAAGACAAGTGTTGTGAAAATGGTACAATAAGAATAAAGGATGAAAATATATTATCATCAACAATGTGCACTTATGTGTCATCTATTTGGTCTTCTAGAGACAACATTCAGCTAACTTGGAGTACAGGTAAACCAAACAAGCGACTCCCTAAGTGTACTCATGAATTGCTCCAAATCAATGAAGTATCTGATATAAACCACATCCACGTAATAGACACTCTTGCCCAAAAATATGGAAGTGTCAACCAAGTACATGAGGTATGGCCCCAATGCACATACTCTATGATACATAACTTATTCATAGTCACCATATGCATGCGCTGCCGACCCTAAGTGGTGTGCATACAGGCTCTCCAGGTATCCAAATCTAGCGTGAAACCTTCAGGTGTCTTTTATCTCCTTCAGGGCATCCTATAGCTCAGCTCCTAAATATGTCATCATCATCTCTAGTGCATGAGCTCTGGTAATTCTCGAATGGTCTAAAAAATTTCTCCTAATCAGAAGATGTAGTAGGCATGACACATCATACACTGTGATGGACATCTAACGATGTGGAAGATGAAAATATGACATATCAGAGTGTCATCTCTCTATGAACGCTGACAGTATATCATGGTTAATAGTAGTTTAGTCGGTAATGTGTAAATCTCGTAGTCCAGATAGCTATATGGTATCGTGAAACCACTACTCATCAAACTGTTACAGTCTTGCAATCTTCTGAGCATAGTTGATGCATTCTAAAGCATCACGGTACTACAAAAACTACATCATCGTCAGAAAGTTGGACTATTATGACAAATGTTTTCAAATAATAAATACAAATAAATTTTACCTCTCTGTTCTACGTGTGACGGGCAACATGGTCTACATATATAGGCATCAGTGATGTGTCATTCGGGACTCCAAATTTCTTTGGAACGACTACATCGACAACATGTGCATTAACATGTACAGGTGGGGCTTTCAAGGCAACAGTAGGTGACACCTGCCTCCTCTAGGAAGACGAAACCAGAGATGTGTAAGTCTCAAAATTTGACGCATCTACATCAAATAGATTGGCATCGACTTGTGATCGCGGGGTCAGGCTATTTTCCTATGAACAGATACATATTGGGACACTTTATCGAGTCTCAATCTATCTTAGTTGTCATTCATATTCTATAATCAAACCAAACAAACCATACAAAGTAGAAAAATTAAACCTGGATGAAACACATTCAAAATTAAGCCAAACAATATTGACAGACAAAATACGGAAATGTACTTTCGTATTCTTTGAGAATCAAATTATGAAACCATATAGAAATGCACTTTTGTATTCTATAAAAATCAAAATTTGAAATCATACAAAAGTGTATTTCTGTATTTACCTACAACTCAAAAAAAGCAAATGACAAAAATGCATGAAAATCAAAGATGCTCAAAACACATTGTTCATTTATACTACTTAACAGACACATTGCTCACTTATCCTACCTATGAATTGATGTATATTAGACAACCTAACGCTCAATTTCTAAAAATATCGTGTATAGAAAATTAAATGTGAAAAACTTGAATTAAAAAACTTATTAAATGTGAATTTGATGTTGAACACTTTGATTGATCGGATGTTTAGAATAAAAACTTAGAAGTAACTTGAAAGGACTTGAAACTTATATTTCAAAACAAACATAAAATATTTCTAAAAATAATTACATATTTTAAATGTATATAAAATTGCATGTTTGGTCATTAATAATATATTTTATAACGTAACATAATTTTGTAAACAAATATTTTACAAATAATTTTTTCATAAAAGTATCAAATAAAAATTTGATTTAAATAGTTATTCTTAAAATGTTACTATAGATATTTTCTAATTTTATTGAAAAAAAAATTTATATTAAAATTTTAAAAACACTTAGTTTCGAACCTATTTCAAACAGACTTTTTCATAAAAATCATTTTTAAAATATGACTTTTAAAAAAATTGTGATTTCGACAATATTTCGATCTTCAATAATGTATATATAAGTTATACGATGTCATAATTAGTCTTTCAACTCAAGAAAAAAACAAATATAAAAAAATTCGTAATATTTTGAAAAATGATTTTATAAAATCCATTTTTAAAGGCTAAACAAACAGCCCTATATATCAAAAGTAAAATTCATTTCTATGATGTTATTAATACTCCTAGAGTGTATATATATATATATATATATATATATATATATATATATATATATATATATATATATATATATATATAATCCATTTTTAAAGGCTAAACAAACAGCCCTATATATCAAAAGTAAAATTCATTTCTATGATGTTATTAATACTCCTATATATATATCCGTATGAGATAAATAACTAAATTATCCTCTGCATTGCATACATAAATCAATATATATCCGTAAGCAACAGCATAAACTAATATCACTTGTGCTACACTGTTGATAAAATGATTGTCAAATCCATGACACACTGCAAGGCTCTCAAACACAAGAATTTACAACAACTACACTAGGAGGTAGGATTCTATACAAAATTAGCATGAAAAAGCACCGTTGCTTCCCCATCTTCTCAAAATATCTGTCTACAATGGGAATAACAGGCTATTAGTAATGTTCACATTGGTTTCAGAACTCATACATGCTCGAGCACAAAACAAAAACAACTTAACAGAATGAAGTGAAACTACCAAGTGGTTATTACCTTGCAATGCTGCAAGAGAATAATCGGCACTTCCCAATCAATTGTCATCTATACTTTCATCATCCTTCATGTACTTCTCTTGCACTGCTGCAACTGTAGATTGATGAGTTAAGGGAATCTCATAATTATTGAAAACTATAATATTGTATCCAGGAAAGTGGTCAGAAAAATAAATAAATAAATAAACGACATAGTTGAGAAACGTGTGATTGCCAGTTATTATCAGGTCTGAAATGCAATTTAAATATTACTGTTCTGTTCCCTTTTGTTTTGAACCATCCATGAACCTGAAAAGCCTATTTCAGCATTGTTGAGGACTCAAATGTATCTAAAGTCTAAAATAAATTAAAAAATTGATAATTAACTAGACCTGAAACAATGTTACCTAAAATTATTCTAACGATATTGAGAGCAATGGCCTTTTTTATTCTTTCAGTAAACTAACTATAACATTAGTTACTACCATAATTCCCGTAGCAGTAGTTATTGTGTTTCATGTTTGTAACAGTCGTCTACTAAACCACTTTAAAGGCTATTATTGGCTTACTAATTAAGGGTCTCGACCTAACATTATTCTGCCAACAAATACATTTTCAAAGAGCTTTTACATAAATCCTTCAAGCTACAATCAGTAATTTCAGCCAACTAATGAAAAATGAATTTGGAGTTCATAATAGTGTAGAAGACATGTTTCCCAAAGGAAGGCAACTTTTGTGTTTATAATACTATACCCTCGTCTCTTTTGTTACTAGAGGACTTAAACACAGTTCAAAATGAGAATAAACAATCAAAGCAAGAATCTATTCAGATTAAAAGTGCATAATCGTGATTTTGTTGATCAAATGCTGAGCAAATGATGTTATTTACTATAGTTACTAATCACAAAGTAAAAGATAAATCAATTAGAATAATCAGATGAGAAGGGGCAAAAAGGATATCTATAATAATCCCAATCAGGAGCTCCCATAGCAATCTTGCTAAACTCAACTGCACTTGCATCTATGCCAGCAAATATGTATCCGTTGGTTTTGTCTATCAGCTTCACTAAATTCCCTACACTCTCCTTGTCCTGTAAAACAAAATTACAACTTAGGATTCTTCTGAACATTTGATATGAACAAATGAAAAACCTATGCAAATCTGACGTACCTGAATATCTAAGGTTGTAAAATTCACAAGACTAAAGTGTTCAACGACGTCACACAATTCCTTTGTGAGCTTTCTGCATATATAATACATAATTTCTTCTAAGAAAACTTGCACAATAAAAAAACTGTGTACCTTAAGGATGAAATAGATAACATGACAGAATAATAACTTCCATCTGACCCATTTAAGACAACTTTAACCACCATTTCTAACTCTTCACTTCAGTTTTAAGGTTACTATTAGAGCTAGTCGTGTGGTGTACAAGTGAGATAAGTCTCGCATCAGGAATAAGTTAGATTTCCGTTTCTGCCATTGGATCAATAAGTTCTACAATTGGATGAAATGAGGTACGATAGGATCTACTGATCCAATGGTTAAAAGCACATTTGTGTATGGTTCAAGACTATTTTACTTATTCATGCACATTAGACAGCCTACTATTAGACACTAAGCAAACAGAGAATTCAGTACATCAACAAAAAACACAATTTCACATCAGAACAACTTCGACGGCGGTAGTACACTATAATCATTGCAAACGAGGAAAGTAAACAAATGGCTTGATTCCAGTATATTTTTCAATTTCATTATAAGCTCTTAGAATAAAAGGAGCACCACAGTTCATAATAGAGAGGTAACACAACTTTAACCGAGTCAAGGAGTATTGCCATCTATTATCTATTCCATATTTTATATTAGTGTCTCTAATCAAGTATGAAGTAATTGACAGAAGCTTCAAAAGTCAAAATATGTCTCCTTGTCCGTTCTAGTTGCATGTTATATATAATCTATTAATAAAATCAACTTTGCAACAATTTAATATGCCATGAAATGGCCAGCATAGACAAGACATATAACAAAATACAACTTAGAAAGGTACATTTTAATAAAGGAAAGTGTCTAAAAGTTCTAACAAATACAAAACAGAATCTCCACACAACAAATCACACCTGTACTTAGCAGAGCGAGGATCTTTATCGAGTTGGTGTTGCAAATACGACAAGTCTTGCACATCTGTATAAAAGTCAAGGTTGAAGGCTGCAACAATCAAATGGTAAAATCAATGTACAAATTTGTCATCTAGTAACCAACTTTAAAGAAAATACACTTAAGTTAACCACTGAAATCTAAAAGCAATTACAGCACCTAGCTTCCCATAGCTCTCAATTAAATCAATTTTTGACAACACATTTATGTGGGGGAGTTCTAGATGTAGCATTGTGGATAAGGTTAGAAGCAATGCACTAATGTACTTCCCAGGGTCACTGCAAAGATGGGCATCAACCAAATGCACTGCCGTTAACTGCAAAGAATAAACATACAAATTAGTTTTTTATAATAAAACATGATTTGACTCTAACAAGACGGGAAGAACTGAACTATACCCGTAAGTTTAATTTCTTTATGAGTTTCGTGATGACATTCTTGGCATTTGAATGAAGAAAAAATAGTTCCACTTGGCCAGGAAAATCAAAGAGTAAATAATGATCTGAAACGTGAATAATATTGTTAGAACACTAGAGAGGTTTAGCTGAATAGGAATAATAGTAGTTAGTGAGAGTATTTAATGATGATTTAGAATGTAAATCTACAAAATAGAGTACAATAATATAATAACCTTTCAGAAGAGGTTTCAATTTTTCTTCCAACCAGTCAATATTTTTCTCTAGATAATCCATACAGTATACAAGACCTGCTTATACAACACAAGTGAACCTTCAGAGTATGTATTACAGTAAGACACAAATACCTACTAAAAGGTAGTATTGTCCTTTTCAAAAGAAAAAATGATTTGCATCTCATATACACTCAAAATAATAAAACTTCAAAAATCCATCATCTATGAAACAATGACACCAGACACATGTCACACCAGTAACACTAACACATAGACACAAAATTTAAGTGACACTAACACATAAGACACAAAATTTAAGTGATTGAATGCAACACATCGAAAGAGTGCTGGGGTAGCACCTATAGAAGAAAAGATGCCGGAAACTAGACTTAGGTGGTTTGGACATGTAGGGAGAAGGCCGGTAGATTATGTAGTAAGGAAAGTAGAGCAGATGGATACAAGTCAAACATCTAGAGGTAAATGAAGACCTAGAAAAACTATAAGAGAAATTACTAAGAAAGATCGTGAGATTAACGATTTGGATAGAAACATGACCCTAGATAGAACATTATGGCGAAAGTTGATCCATGTAGCTGATCCCACTTAGTGGGATAATGCTTGGTTGTTTGTTTGAATGTAACTACATGGTTAGTGTTATATCGGACACTGAACACACTTTCAAATATGCCATCACAAAGTACTATTGGTTGTGAAATCAAAATGAGCAAAAAATTTACAATAAATAAAAACTTCAAACACTGAAGAGGGACTAGACTTACCTCCATTGGGACCAAGAGAATGTTCTATCATGACATCACTCAGTTTCACAAGATCCTCAATGTTCACAGCACAGTCATATCTATATTCATCATTAGGATCAATCATATATCAGTTAATTCTACTATATACAACTAAAAAACCTTATAAGTATAACAACAATGTTTGAAAGAGATTGATAGAAGGATACGGTAATGAATCATTAGCTGGATCCAAGTTGACAATAGCAACCTTCCTGCAATGGGAAAAGCAAAATACAAAGGCAAATTCAATACCCAAATCAATAGAAAACTCTGTAGCACCAATGTGTCCGTGTCCGTGTTGGTGCCAGAAACCAACACCGACATTTGTGATTACATTTAATTTATTCATGTTTTCAAATTATTCCCAGTGTCGATGGGTCAGAGTAATAGTAATGTTTTCCGGTGTCGATTTGTCAGTGTCCGTGCTTCATAAATTTAAGTATAAAGAGTAAAGATCACCTTCCAATTAGATTGAGGAACTGAGACATGCCATTACAGTAAGTTGTTTTCCCAGAGCCAGGAGGACCAACTACTACTTGACCAAACACCATTTTCTCCCTTCCTTTCAATCTTGTGCTAGTAATAACAATAATAAGTAAAAACTAACCATATACATTTTCAATAACAGAAAAACTTATTTGATTTTGGGTTTTGAGGAAAAACAATAAGTTGGGGTTTTAGGGTGCTTGAGAGGGATTGAGGAAAAAATTGAAGAGGGGGAGTGAGGGGAGTGAGGGACTAACCTTCTGTTGGAGAGGGAGGAAGACGAAGTGAAAATGGTGAGTTAACTTTTTGATCGTGAGGAAGAAGATACTGAATAGACTCACTGCGACCGAGTTGGTGAGCCAGTAGAAAAGAAACAGCGAATTAGTGGCTTCTTAGAAGAAGAGCAGTTTTTATGTGCTATAACTATTTTCACATGGCATGGCTAGAGTTAGAGCTGTCAAAATCGAAGGAACAGCTGAAGCGAGTGAGAGAGAGAAGATATATGCTTCGATTTTAAGTTGAAATGAAACAGCCGAACAAAGAGGACCAGCGAATCGAAGAATAACAGTAGCTCCGGTTTCACAGTTTCATTTTAAGGAAAAGCGATATAGATATTAGGTTATAAGGTTTAGCGTTTAAGGTAATGCCTGGGCTGTGTTCGTGTGTGTGATGTTATGTTGGGTTGGGTTCAATACTTAGAAATATACATACTTTGTTTAATTTTTTCCATCGGTAGGATAATTTCTAATTAAATTGAAATTTTTAATTTTTTTTCTGGCTCATATTTTTTAAGGCTTTTTAAGATTAGATTAAAAAAATCTGAAAATAAATGGGTTCAAAAAATAAAACTCAAACTCTAATTTTTTTTGGACTCGAAAGATTGACTCTAAAATTTCGGTCCATTTTGAGAGCTCTAATATCAATATAACTATTATTCAGGTTGGAGAATTTAATTATATATTTCTCGGTTAAAATATAATATATTTTATGAAATTTTTTGTTTTTAATATAACATATTGTCAAAAAAAATACAGTAATGAGAACAAAATTAATATTTGAAGTATAAACATATTTTTATCCAAATTAATTATAAGCAAGTCATATGGTATTTAGTAATTGTTAAAAACTAAAATGTATTAATTAAAAAGAACAATTAAAAGAGAGTAAAAGTGTGTGGAAAAAACAGTTGTGACATTAAGAAAGTTTTTTTTTTTAAATCAAAACTGATTTTCCAACAAAAATAGTAATAAGGAAATAATAAAACAAAAAAAATGTTTTTTATATCATTTTTAAAAATATATAAATCAGTAGTATATTTTGTCTTATATATAAAAATAATATCGTTTATAAAAATATTTGGATTAATTATAGATTATTTTCTCGTATTTTAACATCATTTATAAATATTTAGTGTAGACCGTGGAATTGTCGCTAGTTAGGTTTTGAAATTCAAATAAAATATAAAATATTTAAAATTAATTGTAAACAATGAAAAATAAAAAATAGTAATTAAATATAAATATATAAGTTAATTAAATCAATCATTAATAAGAAATAATATTAAACACCAATTTAGAGGGGGGAAAAACAATTGCACAAAAAATATAATAATTTGTGCGTTCGCACAATACTAATGTGTTATCCGTGCATTCATACGGTACTGATGTATACGTGCGTTCACACGGTACTAGTGTGTTGTCCGTACATTCACGCGATTTTGACTTAATTGCATGTGTGTTCACACGATACTGATATTTATATATGTTTTTACAAAGCCATATTTATTCACTCTATTTTAAATAATGAAAAGGGATAAAAACATGTCGATTTCGGAAGAAAAAAATTACTTATTTAAAAAAATAAAATTTGTAGTCTAACCAAATTATCAATAACAAATCCGAATTGGCCAACGGAATGAACCATGAGTGATATTAGTTATTGATATTGCTGGATCACTTAATAAAAATTTTATATCCTTTTGAACACACTCAAAAGAGAATTCTTTAGCTATAATATAAAGATTTGAAACATGTGAGTTATCATGCAGAACTTATGAAGCACATTTATTTAAAAAATCAGAGACATTTTATACATTATATCAAATCTAAATGTAATATAACTTGTTAACACAGTGGAAACCAAATATGGATGTTCCCTTAAATCTTACATCGAGATTAATTTACATACACAAGGCCAACTGACACCAAGATTTTCAAGAATGTCAGGGAATTTGTTCCAGCTGCTTGTACATGCAAATTGATGGATTAATCCTCAAAATAGAGAGAATTATTGAAGGAATAGTCTATATTCCACCACCATATATCAAACCAGAAGTAACAACTCCAGCATAATCTTCCGAATCTTTTATATTCACTTGTTCCTTCATACAAACAATATTACAGTTCCAATATACATATCAACTGCAAAGTAAGCACCAATGTAGAAAGGAACTGCCATTGCCATTGGAATTGGAATGTAAGTGTTTCTTCGGAATCACGTCCCTAAAGTTGTAGCAAGGCATTCCAAATAAATTGACAATGCTGATTCAACAACACCTCCACCAGCAACCACCTGAATTATTAAGAATGCAGATAAAACAGGAAGTAAAATAATAGAGTATCAATGAACTGCACGCATTACGCCAAATAAGATTTTAAACAGCGCTTATTTTGACTTTAGACAGCGCTTTAAAATGCTGTCTATTCCAGTACTGCTGTAGGAAAAGACGGCGCTTTGTTAAAAGTAAAAGCGCTGCTAAATCTCCTCTTTAGGCAGCCCTTTTACTTTGAAAGCGCTGCTAAAGGCCCCCTTTAACCAGCACTTTTACTTTTAAAGCGCTGCTAAAGGCCCCCTTTAGCCAGCGCTTTAAAGGTAAAAGCGCTGCTAAAGGCCCCCTTTAGTCAGTGCTTTTACTTTTAAAGCGTTGCTAAAGGCCCCCTTTAGCAAGCGCTTTTTCTGGAAAAAAAATTTAAAAAAAAACCTTTTAGACAGCGCTTTTAATGTTAAAGCGTTGTCTAAAGCCTCCTTTAGGCAGCGCATTTTTTTAAAGTGCTGCTAAAGGCCCCTTTAACCAACGCTTTTTCTGAAACAAAAAATTATTTAAAAAAGTCCCTTTAGGCAGCGCTTTTACAGTAAAAGCGTTGTCTAAAGGGGGCTTTAGACAGCGTTTTTTAAAGCGCTGTCTAATGTCAACGAAATATTTTATATAACCTTTTTGAAAAAAAACGTTGTTTGATATATACAATTTTATATGCACAGATTTTAACCATATTTACACCAGGTTTTCACCATATTTTGCACCTGTATATACGATTATAAATTTCACCAGATTTTCACTAATATTGGAGATTTAATCCAATAAAAAATAATATCAAAAGATACTATGATACTTTTACAAATTACATATTACCCTAAACCATTACAAATTACTATGATACTATGATACAAATACATACCAAAGATACTATGATACCTGTATATACCATTACAAATTACAAATTTTGCACCTGTATATACTTTTACAAAAAAACAACACTAAAACAACACCATTATATATCATTACAAAATCTATTCATCTCTAACTTCTACATATGCACATATAACTTGAAACAACACCAAAATATCGTAATTCATACCATGATACAAACAAAATATATATAATTTACCACATGACAAACAACAACAAAATTGCAACACTTGAATATTTATACTCAAAATTCTCATCAATTAAAGTAAGATTACAATATATCTTATATAACTTTCGTCTCAATAATGTATTGGCATCAATCCTCCTTAAGTTCATCCAACTGAGAACTTGAGTAATAAGCACATTTGAATTCATCAAAGTACTACATAATAATATAACATAGTATGTTTAAGTTGAAACTATTTAATTATATGAGAAATATATGTTAAATATTAAAATAACTCCTATGTTAGAAATCCATACCTTAGATGGAATCTCTATTCGATCCAAAAGAAGGATTTCTCTCATAAACCTCAACATGTAAAAACCACAATCTACTTTATTATGCTACCGAGAACACTACACATGAAAAGAAAATATGGATAAGGCCTAAGTTTTATCAAGTATCGTCACTATTAATATAATCAAAAGTGTGATAATTAATTAATATACCTCCACTATAATCCATGTAATATTGTTGGATTTACTCTTTGGTACTTGAACACCTCTTTGTGCTCGAAAAACTTGTATAATGCTAATAAAACATAAACGCATATTTAGAACAATTCACATAAATAAATAAATAAATATACACACGAATATTTAGAACAATCTCACTTACGTATCAACCATATTCTTCATATCTTGGTATGTACTTGGATCATTGTGTAAAGAATCCAGATAATATACAACTTCTCTGATAGGATTAATCGCGACCAACAACCAATGTCCACTGTAAGATTAAACAAATGTGAGATGAAAACTTTCTACACAACGTCAAAATATGAAAAATTATAATAGATGAATTTAGAATGAAAATCTAACCCGTTGTCGGTATTAAGCGGTAAAAAGAACAACTTTTCGGTATCTTTGTCGGCCATAAAGCGCTCGGTACATACGCCATGATTTCATCTGGTTTATGAATGATTAACCCTAAGTTGGTACTGAAAGGAGATAAGAAAGCGAATTTTTGCTCCATTCCACTCGGGCGCATCAATTTTTTACAGAAAAATCTTAAATAAAAGACCTCATTAACATTTGAAATGAGTAAATGAATTGATCAATTAATTAGACAAAGTAGATCGGATATACCTTATGTATGTATTAACAACACCGAGGCCTAATTGCGTATGTTGTAAAACTTGATAAAAATCCTCCATACCAATTGTTTCAGAATATTCAAAACCAAAAATACCAAACTCCATAGATAGAAGACGAGTATTTCCTTCCGAAATATCAGACATTTCTAAAAATGTCCCGAGGCACGACCTAAACTTGGAAGTAGGTTTTTCTTAGCCGCGGTCTTCTTAGCAATAACCTTTTTGTGTGGAAATGTTGCTAATTTCAGGATTCTTACCCCTACTGACATCTTCATTCTCT